CCTAGTAATACATTATCTATCACTCTCTGGAATGTCGCGGGGGCGTTTTTCAAACCAAAGGGCATTCTGTTAAATTCATAATGACCATTTTCAACATTAAATGCTGTTTTGGGTATCGAATTTTCATGCATCTCGACTTGATGAAAGCCAGAGGCTAGATCTAGTGTCGTAAAATAATTACTACGAATAAGTCGGTCTAATATATCCGTAATATTAGGTAATGGATATCTATCATCAATAGTTTTTTCGTTTATCTTTCGATAATCAACGACCATTCTGCATTTTTGTATGCCTGCGGCATCTTCTTTCTTAGGTACTATCCACACAGGGGAGACCAAGGGCTACAGGATTCTTGTTTATGCACATGTGGGTATCTATACGTTTTAAAGCATCAAATTCCTCTGAGTTTAAATGATTAATTCGCAGCGACTTAATAGGGTCATTTGCATATTCATCATTTTCTACTAAAGTGATTTGCTCTATAATAAATATCTCAAACTGTTCGTCAGCGTAAGGTAAACTTATTTCCGCTAAGTTGTTTATGTTATATGGAACAATAATAGGTTTATTCATTAAGTTATGTACTTCCAAAGCTACGGTCTCGTTTATGACTGTGGCTATTGTTGAAGGAATATAATACGTTTCGTTTTTTATCGGTGGTGTAAGTATTTCAATGCCATAAGCTATATTTGTATTGAAATAACATACTTGAATTGAGTTGCTTGGAATCTCAAAATTTTGATTTTCGAAATCTGTTCTATATTGAAACGGAATTGTTGTTTTATTATTAGCAAGAAGCATATTAGAAAAATCTATATTTAAATTATTTTCTTGTAATGTTTTGATTCCAATAATTCCATCAAAATAGTCATGGAAATTATACATTATCATTTCAATGTTGTTTTGAATATTATATTCTTGTAAAATTGGGACATTGATTTTTCCATACGTTTTTCTTGTACCCATGCAAGTAGTTAATTTATTTCGTGAATTACTTATAGAATTTGAAAAATATTCTTCTGCGATTGAGGGTCTTATTAAAGAGGCATGACTTCCTGTGTCAATTAATAATTTACACGTTGGATAGTCTATTTGAATGAAAGGCAGTTGGTTGATTTGATAAGCATTGAAAGTTAATGCTGACTCATTGCATCCAAGGCTTGTACCTGAAAATTTTCGTCTTCAGTTGCGACTTGATTTTCTTCAAAATTTGTCTCTTCGTAATAGTTTTGATTTTCAGAACATTCGTCATTTTCGAAATTTTCGTTAGGGTCAGGCAATTCGATTTCAAAGATATTATTAATTTCTTCAATTGTATATTTGGAAAGGTATTGATGTTGATTTTGTGCTTTTGGTTGCACTGAAACTCCGGACATAGGTGTGGGTTTCGAAAATTGTTGATTAGTGTTTTTGCGTTTATTGTAGTTTTTGCCAAAAGTTCCTGAACTAGTAGGAAATTTTGTTGGTACATAGTCCTTTTTAGGTTGTAAATTAATAGGTTGGGATGGAAACTGTGGTTTCTGTGGTACATACGATGTTTTTTGTGTATATTGAGGTTTTTGTTGAGTATAGGTTTGTTGTGAACGAAATTGCGTATTTTTATTTTTGAAATTTGAAAAATTTTGATTTTGATTTTGATTAGTAGAATGAGTAAGTCCTCTACTAAATTTCATGTCGTTTTCAGCTAGTTGATAATTTAACACAAATTTGTTAGCTGCATCCAACGTTTGTGGATTTTGAACCATTAAAATTGTTCTTAATTCAGTTGGCGAATTAGTGACTAGATTTTGAATAGCAATAATTTCGTTTTGTTCAATCAAGGCATTTGCAACTACCGTTAAATTTGGGTCGCACATGATTTTAGATGTAATTCTTTGAATTAAACCTTTTAGTTTATCCAAATACTCAATAATAGTTTCTTTATTAGTTTTAGTGGTATACATAAGCTCTTGTACCAAATTCTGTCTAGAATATTGATCACCATACTTAATTCTCAACGCTTCTCTTATATCGGTCCATGTTTGTAAATCAGGACGTGCCATAAGAAAATTTCTTGCGTCATTTATTAATTTTGAATTTTTTTAAATTTTCAAAATTAAAATTTTTATTAAAATTAAAATTATAATTAGTTATTCAGTCTTAAGCGTTGCTTTTCTTTAAAAATTAAAAGTTACTTTGGGTTTGTAAATTCTTATTTACTCTTTATTTTTGATTTCAGTCTTTTCAGCAAACCTTTTTGGCATTGCAAAAGAACAAAAATCTGAATTTAAGTCTTCTCAGTAAATCAAAAAAATTAGAAATTACAAAAAATCAAAAATCCAAAAATCTTAACTATGGAACACCAATTACAAAATGTATAAAGAGAAAGGTTGTACTTACTAGGCAAAGCTAATAACAGTAGTCTTTCTTCACACGTTGTTTCTTGTTATTCCTTTTACTCAGTTAACCAATTCGAAGTGGACAGTATCTGGAACGTTTAATAGCAGCGCTGATAATCCAAATTTCACTTTTCCGAAGAATTCACTTTTTCGAACTTCCTTCAGTCTTTTGAAATTTTCGCGACAGATTACGACTGTTACAACTCTCCCGAAACTTAAGCACTCTGAGCATCCGAACGACTGCGCCAATTATATTTTCGATTCAGAAACTTGTATTTTAAAAAACATTTATTTTATTGATTAAAATACAGAGGTGACAAAAGAAAATACAGGGATCAAATTGCTACAGGCAAAAGCTAGAAAACAAATGAACGTTCCTTATGGGACTGCGTCGGCTTAAATAAACATTTAATGCCGACATAGCAATTTGATGTTTACTTTACAACAATGTATTTAAAAAGTCATAGAGGAAAGGGGTAAGCGCATTAAAGCATATAAAAAATAGATAATTGATTATAAATCAGCATGGCAATTGGTTAATATAACTCACTTAGTACCTAAAATATTATTGTTTTTTATATAAACAGAGTGGTAACATCGACTTTTTTTTTACCTTCCAAATTTCTATGGCCTCTTGTGGATCACCAATAGTCAGCCAGTCACTTATAAACTTTTCATGTTTTCAAGGCACTTATTTTACTAAGACAAACATTACAAATACACGGGACTCGAACCCGGGACCATCAGCATGCGAAGCAGATACGGATATACTATCCACTACGCTGCCTGGGCTACATGGCAGTAATTTAGGCTCGACTTACGGTCAAAATTACAAAGACCCTGCGAAGGACCGTACCAGAATCGAGAAGAAGATCAATGACTTGGTGAACAGGATTCAATTTTCGCTGAAAGCCAAGCCAGATTTTGTGAAAGACTTGTTCAATATAGAGGCAACAGTACACCGCCTTAGAACTTAACTATATATCATACGGAAGGCGACGTTGCTAAATCCACGTTTTCTATAGGTTCGGGAACTTGTGCACATTCTGGCAACACCAAATGGAGAGTCCCCAGCGATGACCTCCCAATTACGAAGTTTCGATCCCCTAGGGATTGGATAAAGATAATAGAGACTGCTCTTGAACCCGCCTTCTGATTGATCAACACTCGTATACCGATTTCAAACAGAATTTTCGAGAATAGAATTTGACACGTTGATGGGTTATCGGAATTTCCTAGGAGGGAGAAAATTACATAGGGATCCAAGTGCCATAAAAGAAGTAGATCAGTCGGTTGTGAATTGACCGATTCGAAGTATTGTTGTAAATAGTGCTAGTTGAATCGTGATTTTTATATTATTTTTCCAAAAAGATATATCTTTGAGTTCTGTAGATTAGTCTCACTTACCTGTGAACCCGTACATATAACATTAATTAATTTAGGTCACCCATTCCCTATTCTGTTATAAGTATCTATGAACATTTTTTAATAATATACATTTATTTAACATAATTGCCTTGCTAGAGACCCTGGATTTATTCAAGGATTGGAGAGTCAAAAGCTTTATTTCTCAAAGCAATTTTAGATACCTCGCCTCTTCTCGCTGTCTTTTAGTAGTTTCACTTCGTCAAAGGCACGAAACTTTTAAAAGAAAAAAGTTCTCCATCGAAGTCTGGATGCGATTTAATGATCGATGTCATCCCTAACAGACAATCGAACCAGAACTGCGGTAAAGAACAATCCCTAGAGAGCCATAATAAAACCACTTAAGTGTCTGGCATGATAACTAACAACGCTAGAATAAAATACTGCAGGTCACGAGTTTGCTTTAAAAATGAGATTTCCCAAATTAAACTGGAAGAGATAGCTCGATTGCTTCTGTATATTTTCGTGGATTTACTAAAATATAATTGGATTTTCTAAAACATTGAATGGATAGTTTAGCAAATCTTTTATGCGATGTGGAAAGGTTATTTGAAACTTTGAATATTTGCTTTATCTATAAAATTGATTTGGCCGACGCAAAGTTGTTTGGAAGTTTGGTGAATATTATAAGAGAAGTTTCAAAGTTTCTATTTGTCCAAGTTTTTCACAAGATTCTTCACAAAAAAAACGTTTTTTTTTTTAAATTTTAATACACAACATGCTCAAATGCCTACATTGCACGAAAAGGCTTACGATCAGATTTACCATATAACAGAATAACCTCTTCCCCTAAACTGCCTGATATATGGGGATGTCCAATATTTAGGGGTGTGGGGAAATGGTATAGACATTTCAGCAGAAGGGATCTAACAGAGGTAAAACTACGAGTTTTGGAAAAGATATTTTTATTGTCAATTAAATGGGTAAAAAGGCAGTAGTCGGATTATTTTCCTGTTTATATACGTTTTGCGCTTATTGAATATAGAATGTTTTTTAGAATCTACCCACGGTGTTCCAGTTTTAAAACACAATTAAAGTTTGTATAAAGTCGTCCCTTGCATTAGTTTTGTTTCTAGTTACCTACCTATGTTTGCAGACATAACTTTTTAATGTCGCTTTTTATATCTGATGTTTACTTATTCGATTCGTTGTTTACAGCGATTATAAAATAATTGTGAAAATTGTTTTTTTTTTTAGACTGACGACGGTTGGATGGGGCTTACATCAGACTTTCATGTGAAAAGTCCAATAATTAACGTACCAGAATGTCAAATAAGATTAACCAAATTATCATCCTACTCAAATAACTATGTTGAAATACACCTGAAAGTACCAGATAAATTGAAATCCGAGGTAAGTCATAAAAAGTAATCTTTTCTCGATGTAAAATTTGCACCTGCAAAAAACCTGGCAACACGTTGAGAGGAATTTGCACTTTTTTTTTTTTTTTCTTATTAAATTCTTAACATTATGAAAAGTCACTTGCCACATAAATTTTAAATTTTCAACTACTTAATAGTTTTCCTGTAAAAAAATATAGAAATTCAAAATAACTCTTTTCGCGCCAAAACGCAGTCGTAAATCAATGACGTCATAAGACGATATCCGTCAAAACCAGTTTATCTCTGTCCCTGTCTTACCCATTGTCTTTTATGTAATTTTTATGTCATTGGTTTTATGCGATTTACATGTGACAGGTGGTTTATTTGGTTGTCAAGTTTCCCCTTGTTTTTATTCTAATCGGTGACTTCACCGATGCGTTAGCTATCTTTGTTTAGTGAATGGAAAATGACAATGACCGCTATAAAATGGTGGACCCATCGGTAGAACTCGATGTAAACACAAGCATCTGACGGCTCACGTCTCACGTTAACATAACCGCACTTTTGTTTGTTTATCGTTCCATGACGTCATAACCAATTTGAGAGCGTTTTCACGCTCTTTGTTATATTCAATATTTGAATAATTACATATCTATCAGTGGTTCAGTATAGAGGATTTAAATATAGAAATATACTTCTAGACTTCTAGAGTATTTTGCTTCACTTTAAATACATTTTGCATCAAAATAATATTTTATGCAACTTCCTCATTCCCAGGGATGGCCCCCGAATACAAAATCTCGACCCCTTGGGCAGCAAAGAAACGGAAATGGCCATCAAATCCGACTTTCGATCCAGCGTTGTATAGTTTATACGAATTCAGTCCAAACAGCTTAATAGAAGAGTCGCGTACCGGGTTTGCCTAATTTACCAATATATCCCGATAAAAATCACCTAATTTTATGATGACTAGACCCTGTACCTATGAATATTTTCTTGCCTAAACCCAACTACACATTCCTAGATTCCCGCTTCCAGTCAGTCAAATAATATTTGGCGTACACAAAAATAAAATAATGTCTAAAAATGTCTGGTGCACTTTAGGTGACTGTGGGCACGTGCGTTTGCAATGTATGATGAATTTATCAGTGTGGTGGCTTGCTTATGGAAATAGAAGGAACTAAAATTAGTTTATCCTTCGTTCTTGGAAATTTTAGCGAGTGTCTTGAGACTGTGTCCGATTGTCGTGTTTTTTAAAGTTGTTTTGTTGTTACTGCTGTAATTTTTGGAAAAATATTTTTCCATTCCTTGCGTGTTGCACGCCTATGCTTAATTTCATAAAGAAGATGCTGCCTATATAGTTTTTTATGCTATTCGGATTGATTTCGTATAAACTATAGACGACACAGTTTCACGACTACTTATTGATCAACCTACGTATGCTCGATAGTGTCAATTTTCTTCATTATTATCAAAAATAGGAGCCAATGCCAAATATTCATGACGTGCGGCGTTTCAAAAATCTGCTAGAGCCAAGATTGAGATTTTTTTAGTTTGCATTCTCCTTGAAATTGCGATATAGAACTGGAATCGAACTGGATCGATCTAGTCAAGATTGAGATAAATTAAAGTTTCCATGAAGACTTTCATGGAATAATCTGGAAACCTACTGAACTATCGAAATTCTTAGAATTGGTGTTTATCAGGAATTAATAGAAGGGAATAATCTCGAATATTACAGAAGTAACGAAGTCTGTATGAAAGTACGTAAAGTTAATGCGAGTGGATTGAAACAGTTATAATACCCTGAATTTATACAGGGTGGCCTAAATTTGGCCCACATGTAGGGACATTTTGGTGTGAGAGGAAACACAGAAACGGTAAAATAGGGATATGGTTTCTAACTCAAGACCGCTTTGTTTGCTGTACATACAGCCGTGTAATTTTTTCCTATTTATCAATATTATGCAAATCTGTGAGAACATCCCTAATGCAATGCTTCCTGTTATTGTTCACTTTTTCAAGATTGGTTCGTGATTGAATTGAAATAATAGGGACATTTTGGATAGATTTGGGATTAGATAATATTTTATATCTAAAATAACGAAAATATTTGGTAAATGTAACTATATTTAAGACGAAAAAGGGTAAATAAAAACTAGTTTTTGGACTGAATTTTATAGCCAAAAAAATCAAATCAAATTAAATAAGCTTTATTGTCCGAAGAATGTAGAATTCTGTTTGACAAAGGCCTGCTTAATCACTAAATATTTCTGTTAGGTTTCAAGATCAGGTTAAACATTTAGATAAATAATTCAAAACAACAATATGAAATAATAAACACTCTAGAGCAGATAAATGAAAAATGCAATATGAATCACACATGTATAAGATGATAAAATAACAGCCAATTTAATAGTACGATGATTTATAATTGAATTTTAAAATTCAGTTGATTTTGTTATAGGCAATGGGAGTTTGTATGTTTGCTAAGTGTTATGCGTATTTTGTACCTTGGTTTCACGTTTATATTTTTTATAGATTAGACAAGTAGTTTCCAAGCAAGACAGTGTCAATATCTTATGTGTTGAAAACAATGGTTTACATGAATCTCTATACTTTGCTTTACAGCAACAGCAACCCCAGAAGCAAATACCGTATCTACCTAAAACAAGAGTAATCGTTGATAGAAACGATTTTCACTGGTCCAAAATATCCCCAATAGCAGAAAAAACCAACCATTGCTTCTGAAATCTCAATTCAATAGGAGCTGAAAGTTTTGGAATCTGGATCTTCATGTTTCTCAAATTTAACCGGTGTTGTGGTTGTCCTTTATTTTATCGCTATGCCCTCCATGCGAATGTGCCAATCCGGATTTCGGGCACTGAAATCTCCCAATAAAAAACTTCAATTCATCAAAAAACTCTAGATGGTTATAGAACTCTTTTTTTCTTTTGTCATCATCGGGATTTGAAGTTGGGCCGAATGTATTGATTATAGTGCATTTTTGGTTATTCGCACGAGCTAGAGCCGGAAAGCCATAAATATATCATGTCTTTAACTTTTCACAGAAGACACCTCATCAAGATTATCGGCGATTTGGTTTCTATAGCCTATAAATTCGGGCCTCATTCTCGTTATTCGCTTTCCAGAAGGAAGTGAAGCAATCGGAATTTTCTGTGAGTTCGCCCCCGCCCGCACATTTGTTTCATCTAGTGCAGCGGTACCTTCTGGCACCATTTCTAGCCCTCTTCCTATGCGGGGTGAGCAGGGTAGATCTCAAAAAGACGTGCTCAGTCTCAAGTGCCTTCTTCAAGTGGCGATCACAAAAGTGTTTGGCTGCGTTGTTGCTGCTGTTCCTCTTCAAGAGACACCTGTGCGTAAAGTTTTTTAACGTGTGTGTGTGTTGCTGCACTATAATAATCACATGATCCTGTAGACCTCTACAATATTGGCTCAGTCGCCTGGAATTTGAGACGACCGGAAATCCCAAGGCTATTAAGGCTCTACTATCTCCTCGTGGAATTAGTAGATAAGCGGACCCTAACATGGGATCAGACGCTTCCTTACTGAAGAGGCTCTTGCACCCATTTCCATAGCCGCTGACATATTTGTCCGCCTCGGTGAGGTGAGGATTACCTTTTAGTTACATTTCGTGATAAGCACGTTATGCCCTTAAATAACTACCACCCTGCAGGAATTGCATTTCTCTACTTGGAAATAGGAGATAGAGGAAGAAGGAAAAATCTGCTTGGTAGAGAGAATTTTGAGAATATTGAAAGAAAGAACCAATGTAGGGACGCAGAGTGATAGATGAAATAATCAAACAACACTCTACTGCACCACTTTATGTAGGTAGCAAAAATTCGACAGGGATGTATGCCCGGTTTTATAAGCTCGGGTTACCCCTGTCCCGAGAGTTATTTCGGTGACCGCTTAAGGCTTAACTATCGGGGCAGGGGTAACTCGAGCTTATAAAATCAGGTATTAGCAATATAAACACGTTCGATCTATCCGTGTTCTCAACATATACAGGGTGTCCCAAAAAGATACCGACAAACTTTAGGGGGTAGTAGGGGACATCAAAACAAGCATTTTTGTTTATATAAACATATGTCCGCAAATGAGCCATTTGGGCTGTAGAGCAAAAAAACTGTTTTCATTCTTCGCAATAATTAAATCACTGTTTACTTATTAAATTTGCTTTATTAACAAATCAATTATGGTTTACAATAGTTGTTCAAAATGTTGACCATTTACTTCAATGCCAAGATTGCACCGTCGGGTCATTGACTGAAAAGTTTAGACTACGAAACACCTGTTCGTAATGAGGAAGATCTGTTAGCAAGGATACTGGCGAGTTGTACCCATGTAGAAGCTATTCCCGGAATATTCCAAAGGGTTCGCGAGTCAATGACCCGACGGTGCAATTTTTGCATTGAAGTAAATAGTCAACATTTTGAACAATTATTGTAAACCATAATTGATTTGTTAATAAACCAAAAAAGTGATTTGATTATTGCGAAGAATGAAAAGAGTTTTTTTGCTCTACAGCCCAAATGGCTCATTTGCGGACATATGTTTATATAAACAAAAATGCTTGTTTTGATGTCCCCTACTACCCCTTAAAGTTTGTCGGTATCTTTTTGGGACACCCTGTATGTGCAAGAATTCGTAGCAATAATATAGATCAGGAAAGAGGGGATGAACCTCTCAAACTCGACACAAGTTCTGTTTTATTTGTGTTCTGGTAGGACAAGGGCTGCTTATTATGGGTCTAACTTTTTCCAACATAATTTCTCCCTGGAACAACTCCTTTCATCCCCCTAAAGGTCGTTTTTTTTTTTTTTTTTTTGGTTTTTCCGAAACTGAGCGCTTTCGCTACGGTTTACAAAAAAATACCTAGTAAAGAGAACTAAATGCTCTACAATTTGTTCAGCGACAGCATTCACCTACCCTTTAGCCAGGGTGGGGCTCTAAAGTTGCATGACGTTGAAAAAAAAAATGGGATTTTTTTACTGAACAGTAAAG